TAGCATGAATTAGCACAATTCTAGCATGAATTAACATGTTGTTAGCATGATTCTAGCATGAATTAGCATGTTACTAGCATGATTCTAGCATGATATAGCATGTTGTTAGCATGATTCTAGCATGAATTAGTATGTTCCTAGCATGATTCTAGCATGAATTAGCATGTTACTAGCATGATTCTAGCATGAATTAGCATGTTGTTAGCATGATTCTAGCATGAATTAGCATGTACCTAGCATGATTTTAACACGAATTGGCATGTTACTAGCATGATTTTAACATGAATTAGCACAATTCTAGCATGAATTAGCATGTTGTTAGCATGATTCTAGCATGACTTAGCATGTTACTAGCATGATTCTAGCATGAATTAGCATGTTACTAGCATGATTCTAGCATGAATTAGCATGTTGTTAGCATGATTCTAGCATGAATTAGCATTTGACTAGCATGATTCTAGCATGAATTAGCATGTGACTAGCATGATTCTAGCATGAATTAGCATGTTGTTAGCATGATTCTAGCATGAATTAGCATGTTGTTAGCATGATTCTAGCATGAATTTGCATGTTACTAGCATGACTCCAGCATGAATTAGCATGTTGTTAGCATGATTCTAGCATGAATTGTCATGTGACTAGCATGATTCTAGCATGAATTAGCATGTTGTTAGCATGATTCTAGCATGAATTAGCATGTGACAAGCATAATTCTAGCATGAATTAGCATGTGACTAGCATGATACGAGCATGAATTAGCATGTAACTAGCATGATTCTAGCATGAATTAGCATGTTGTTAGCATGATGGATAGATATAGATAAAGATAGATAGATAGATAGATAGATAGATAGATAGATAGATAGATAGATAGATAGATAGATAGATAGAGGTAGATAGATAGATAGATAGATAGATAGATAGATAGATAGATAGATAGATAGATAGATAGATAGATAGATAGATAGATGGATAGATGGATAGATGGATAGATAGATAGATAGATAGATAGATAGATAGTGTGCGAGCATGAGTCAAACAAGCCAACCCCCGCTTCTCTACGATGTTCTGATGCTGAGATATAGCTGGTGTTATATCGTTGCTAGGTTAGTCTGTTTTGTTGCTATGGAGTTGATTGACAGCTTAGACTGATGATGTATCAAAGCTTCTTGCCAGTATGAACAGTTAAAAACAACCCCCATGTCTCTATCACACTGCAGCATGACAATATCAGTCTGAACCTCTTTAATGGCAGTCTATGGGACAGTTGCTAGGGCGCAGTATCTGGTTGTTAGGGTGTGGCTAGAAAGTTTAAAGGCCATCAGTGATTGGCTGCTGGCTAGACTGAGTTAAATGAGCTCAATCATTAGTCTGTAGGACAGTTTGATGCAGAGTTATGAGCTCACAAAGTTTGATCCCATGTAAAGTCAATGAGAGTCTTTTGCAATGGAAGTCTATGGGACGGTTTCTAGGGTCCAAAAGTGGTTGCTAGGGCGTGGCCAGAAAGTTTAAAGGTGATCAGTCATTGGCAGTTTGATAGTCTGAGTTAAATGAGCCCAGTTAGAAGTCTGTGTGACATTCTGATGCGGAGTTATGAGGTCACAAAGTTTGATCCAATGTTACGTCTATGGGATTTTTTCGACGGTCCCGGGACGTTTTTCGGAAAACCGAAAGTCAGATCAGTCGGAAAAGATATAGCAACTCGAGTCAGAATAGTTCGGAGGTCTGACCCGAGTTTGATGGTCATAGCTTGAAAGGCCTAGGACGAGATAGAGTTTAATTTTTAGTCTCAGAAGAAGAATAACTAGATTCTTAAAGTTTGAGAACAAACTTTGAGGCTGGCTTGTGAAGCTTAGACTGAAAGTTTAAAGTAATTCTAAGTTTTAAGTAACTTAAAGTATAAAAGTAGTTTTGAATGTAAAAGTATTTTTAAGTAATTCATATTTTAGGTTGTTAAAGTTTAAAAGTCATTTTAAGTTTTAAGAAAGTTGAATATTAAAGGTAGCTTTAAGTAGCTTAAATATTTAAAGTAGTTAAGTAGTAATGTTTTTATGTAGCGTAACAGGGAAGTGAAACACTCAAATTTACATTATTTTGTACATTGAATTCCACTTTAATGAACATATATTAAGCAAACTGGAATAATGTATGTGTGTGTTTTGATATGGGTGTATGCATGCATCAAGTTTATATGTATATATGTAAGTTTCATAAATGTTGTTTTGAACATAGGTTGATATGCGAGTGATGTATAGGTGCATATACAGGTGTTTTATGTGTTGATACAGTTTGATTTAAATCCTACATGGCGCCTCATACGATCAACTCAATCTCTGAAAATGTATGAAGAACATTAAAACCTGCCATGTGAAAAACATGGTTTGGATGGAACACCAAAAGAGGTGAAGGCTTTAGTGGAGAAGAGTAAATGTACCCGCCCCTATGACGTCACCACCGGACCTGGTTGAAACCAAGGCTGAAACAGGTGAGACCATATTTGGCGCGTGACACGTGACTATCTTTGGCGCGTCTGCTAAATAGGTTAATAACCCTCTGATGCTGAGTGAGCTTCTCTTTCATTATGACCCGGGGCGGACTTACCAAAGACAGCACCAGGACATTTCACGTTGACCTAATGGTCAATCTGGAGTGCCACCGTGAATCTGGACCAATCGCCCACCACCAAGCGTGTAAGTGTATATGTCTGTGTGTGCACTTGTGTGACAAAATGCTTATCTTTTTATTGAAAAGGGCCACCCCTTCTCAGGTGTGTTTTTCAGCATTGTGGCTGATTTATAGAATATATACAATTCTCAGTAGGTCTGTGCAATTTATCGAAAATTCGATTTAGTTTTTTACTTATAATGATTATAAAAAAACCATTAATCCAGATAAACGATTATTGCATCATATACCGTCCCGTTTAAAGCTGTACACATTTGTTGCTCTGCAAAGCTCAGTTCCACGTGAAAATGACTAAAACCATGTGCTGTAATTTTTGCAACACGGGATGTGCATCATGCATTGATGTACGTTCGAATCCTTCATATTTTTCACAGCGCGTAAGAGCACGTGCTGTTGGGTGTGTGCGAGCCTCGGAGCCATCTTAATGTGAGTGCTTTAATGGTCAAATACATGCACATTTGTGCCAGAACGCGGAGTTTAGTGAATATTCATAATAACCCTCGTTTGTGTAATAAATAAGTTGAGTATCTTGTATATATGTAGAAGACATGTGAAAGAGAAACCATATCAGAGCCGCACTATTCTTAAAGAGACAGCGCGCTGAAAGAGCACGTGCTGTTGGGTGTGTGCGCGCCGCATGGAGACATGCAGAGCATACACATCTTAATGTGAGTGCTTTAATGGTCAAATACATGCACGTTTGTGCCAGAACGTGAAGTTTAGTTATTATTCATATTAACCCTCGTTTGTGTAATAAACAAACAAGTTGAGTATCATGTATAGCTGAGTATATATGTGTAAGACATGTGAAAGAGAAACCATACCAGAGCCGCACTATTCTCAAAGAGACTTTTTCATTATTGTTAATAAAACAACAAATGGAGAAAATCTCTGCCCGCTGCTCTTGACTGAAGGGATTTTTTTTTTTTTAGCAAAAAAGCATTTCTTACAGTGAAGATGCCTAAAGCACAGTTTAAACATAACAAATTTAATAACTCATTTCTAATAACTGATTTTATTTTATCTTTGCTATGATGACAATACGTCATATTTTACTAGATATTTTTAAGATACTAGTATTCAGCTGAAAGTGACATTCAAATGCTTAATTAGTGTAATTAGGCAAGTCATTGTTTAACAGAAGTTTCTTCTGCAGACAATCAAAAATATATATTGCTTAAAGGGGCTAATAATATTGAGCTATTAAAATAGATTTTAAAATATTTAATCCTGCTTTTATTCTAGCCGAAAGCAAACAAATAAGCCTTTTCTCCAGATGAAAAAATATTATAGGAAATACTGTAAAAAAATAAATAAAAATAAATCCTCCGTTAAACATAATTTGAAAAATATTTATATATAAAAAAATTCACAGAAGGGCGAATTTTCACTTCAACTGATAATCGTTTTAAGTAAATCGCGATTACCAATATGACCAAAATAATCCCAATTATGTTTTTTTTCCCATATCAGAAACTGTATTTTTCTCTCTCTCTCTCTCTCTCTCTCTCTCTCTCTCTCTCTCTCTCTCTCTCATTTTAATTACATTACAGCATCAATTCTTTAAAAGGAACACTATAAAATTGAAAGGCACAATAACTGTTCACCGGTAGTTTATCAATATGGGAAGAAACAATAGCTCAGCATATACCCTCGATCAATGTGTGAACAGATGTACAATGGAAATAATTAAAACCTCAGATTTAAAAATTGGCTTAAATTAACATCAAATAAAATTTAGAGAAGTTAGATTATTATAAGAAAAGTATTACAAAAACTGTTAAGGGTACCTAATATTTGAAATAAAACTACACCTTCTCTGAACTTTACAGATTTCCATGAGACAATTTGTTTTATGATTGGGTGCAGGGAGCCGAGTACTGCTCAGGAACAACAAACACTATAGAATCACTACCAAGGAACACTGATTCCTTTCGCTTCTTTCAATACATGTCCCTCTATGAACTTGGTATGTAAAAAAAAAAAAAAAAGTGCGTCACTACCAGCACTGTAACACAGTTTGACATAACGTAATGTTTTACAGCATGTACCTTCACTTTAATAAAGCTTGAAAGAATTCACACTTACTGTTCCCTGTATGCCGTGATGGAGGTGGGTGATGAGAATTTGGCAAATGGATAATGGTGTAGCCATAAATAATTGAAAACATAATTATTATTAAAACCTAAAAGGTTGACTTGACAGTTTGATTTAAAAGTTTGATATAGTTCGAAAAGTTTTATGATAGTTAATGGTGTGAAATGATTAGACTTACTATGTAATGCAGAATTATAATGGTAAATAAACACAATTTACACATTTAATTTTTTATTAATTACAATTGTATAATTGTGTTAGTTAACAAAACCGAAATACACATACATTGTTTCAAATATTTAATTCAACTAGCCTAATGTAAAATAGAAACCGTAAAGAACAAAGGTAAAACAGAACTGTAAAGAACAAATTTAAATGACTGTAGCCTAATTGAGAAAATTAAGCAAACTGGAAACTTTACTTGAGGGTTGTTCATTAGACTGTCATGAAAACTTTAAAATCATGACACGATATGTATATGAAAGAGTTTATGCATGCTTATGACAACTGTCATTAGCACAGTTATGCCATTTTAAATGCTAAAATTACATAATGTGACATGGCAACACGTTCATAACAACATGACATAAATGCATCGTAACCTATTTTTTGCTTTGTGACACCTAATGACAGTTGTGATAAGCTGGCAAAAAAAAGTTTTATTCATTATACATGTCACGATTAAAAAGGTGAGAGTTTTATGAACACCCCTTGAACCTTTCCTCACAAACCCTAGAAAAGGCAGTCCATTGAGTCCTGAGTGTCTTCTGGATGGACCTGATTGGGGTCAGCAGATCCTCCACTGTGAACATCTGGAGGGCCCTGATCCGCATCAGCAGATCCTCCACTGGGAACATATGGAGGAACCTGATCCACACTGGCAGATCCTCCACTAGGAACGTCTGGAGGGACCTGATCCACACCAGCAGATCCTCCACAAGGTACGTCAGGAGGGACCTGTTCCACACCAGCAGATCCTCCACAAGGTACATCTGGAGGGACCTGTTTCACACTGGCAGGTTCCACGTGGAGGACGCTTCCACAGATGTGCCTGAGTTTTAATTGAAGTGGGAGCTGGTTTGCCAGCTCCTCAATAGTGCCTGCATAGAAATGTACAGGCACTATGTACTCATCCATATGGCTATCCAGGAGGATGAGCTTGTCGTGCATCTCTGACACTCCAACGATCTCAAGAACTGCCTCCTGGATATCCCTATCAATAAGCTGAAAAACAAAAAAAATTTAGAAAAGGTTAGTAGAAAAGATTCAACTTGCATTTGATAAAAGTAACCGTATTTTCTGTGGATTAAGTTATCTTTTTTTAAATCATAAAGGGCGCCTATTTTATCAATTTTTTTCAAGGTTTAAGATAAGTTTTTGTGTCTCGAATGTTTTTGTAAAATGTTGGCTCAAAATACCCATCAGATTATTTATGATACCTTTCTCTATATATGAAATTTGAGCTGTAATGATATTATAGCTGTTTTGTTGCTTGTGCCTTTAATGCAAATGAGCTAGTTCATCAAGTTAAATCCCAAATTGATTTGCACATACAGTATTTTATAGAAACTATTCAAAAGTGCAATACTATATACTAATTGCAAATAAAGGTTTTCAGATTCATCAGATGAACTACATTTTGGTAGAAAAAATATATTTTTTTCGTATACATTTTCCAATAATTTATGTAGTGCGAACAACAGAAAAAAAAAAACTTAAGGAAAAGTTTAATTTGTACTCTTCGTGTTATTTTAATCAAACAGCCTTCTGTGATGTTTTATCCACTGTTCATCTGACACTACTATAATCGTTATTAAGGCAACAATGTCATTTCATTTCTAAATTTTTAATGTCTCTTGAAGGTTAACACTTTTAAATGTGTGTGGATTACAGATGTGCAGCATATAATGTTTACCTTAAAAGTTGTGTGATTAGAAGAGTCGAATTTTGCTCTTCCATCTGGTCTTCCGTTTACTTTCAGGTGACTGAGCTCAATGATGTCCCCGACATAGAGCTCGTTAAGTGCTTCTTCCCGCCACAGTGAGACATCGTGTACTACGGAGCCACATTTCATCCGCAGGTCCAGGATCGGTATGTGAGTGCGAGTCATTCTAGGCACTTCAACCTGGAAAATGACAAAAAGGTAAGTACTATAGTGTTTTTATTTATTTATTTTTTTCTTAATCCTGACACAAGAGTTTACTGTCATTAAGTCGGACTGTATGTTTTGGTGATTTGAAATGTCAACATTAGCAGAAATCGCCTGTCTAAAGACATGCGGTACAGCTGAATTGGGTAGAGTAAATTGTCTGTTGTGAATGAGTGTATATGTGTATGAGTGGATGTTTTCCAGAGATGGCTGGCAGCTGGAAGGGCATCTGCTGCGTAAAACAAATGCTGGATAAGTTAGCGGTTCATTCTGAAGTAGCGACCCCCAAATTAATAAAGGGACTAAGCCGAAAAGAAAATGAATGAATGAATGAATGAATGAATTC